CGACAATCTTTGGCTGGACACTGCCTGACCTTTAAACTTTTCTGCAAATGCTACAAACAGCTTGAGAGCTCCCCCAAAGGGTCTCATTCTATCAAGGTAGTATGAAAGAGCCCTAAAAGTGTCAAGGATGGGCAATTTGTCTTCCCTCTGGTGGCTTACGGAAGAAAACTGGGAATGGGGTGGAAGGGGGGGGGGGGGTAAGGGAAATCAGCCGATTCAAACAAAAACCTGACACAAATCTTGGATCAGAACTTAGCATGCTGCTTAAGCATTATCTTATCTCTGTGAAATATGGCATAAGGTGGACCAGCCACAAGAGCCTGAATTTCCCCTGCCCTTCAAAGTCTGCATAGATAGATGGTATAAAGAGCAAGTTGCCAGAGGCTTAAAAAGGGGTCCCATTAAACCAATTAAAACTATGCTGAGGTTCTAAGATGGAGGGAGCTCCCTAACTGGGGGCAACACATTAATGAGGCCCTTGAGGAATCTTAGGATGGCAAAATGTAGTATGACCTGAACAGTGGGATGTATTAATATTGCTGCTAAATATATTATTATGGAGCTAACCGACAGTCCAGAATATCAGGAAATCAGTTTTTAAGGTGACATTGTGCTGCCCAAATAGAAAACCTCTTTCATTAAGCTCAACAGGCCAGTCTAGTAGAGTTTTTTTCTGCTATGCACCAAAATGTTTTGGGCTTCAAATGAATACTTTTTCCTCAATGGAAATTAACCAGCCAGCATCCACACTGCAACAATGCTGGGTTCAGGAGTAGAATATGACCACAGTCCTATTAGATCACACAGGTAAGACAGGTTCTGTGACTGGGGGCTATGTTGACAGGTTCCTTACGTCTGAATACAAAAAACCATATGGGCCAAGCTGGCGCTAGTAGTATCATTACTGCTGAGCCCTGTGTGAGTTTCCTCAGGATGCTTGGTATTAATGGGATTTGTGGATAGATGTGCATGATCCCTGGTGTCCATGAGATGAGAAATGCACTGAACTTGGATCCTGGACTCAGACCTTCCCTTCCCAACCCCACCTTAAACAGAATGTTGATATTTCTCATTCTGAGCTGTAGCAAACAGGCCCATTGCTGGTTATCCCCACCTACAGAAGATGGTCTGCAGGGCAGAGTCCTTGACAGTCTACTGGTAGTTGTCTAAGAATTTCCTACTGATGTTCTGTAAGTCTGGTAGATGCAGAACCACTGATGAGTTTTGGTGACAAAGGCACCAGGTCCAAGATGAACAGCTACTTTGCAGAGCAGAAGTAGAAATGTTGTGAAAACTAGGCAAATAGCTAAGTTCTACGACACTTATGTGGAAGTCTTTTCTAGAGTCCAGAAGCCTTGGGTCTGAAAGTGGTCTAAGGGAGCTCCCCTCCTCTAGCTTTGAGGTATTGGTCCCCAGCATTTTGGAAGGCAGAGGTGGAAAAAGCGGTATTCCTTTGCACACCCAGCAAGGGTCCTTCCATGAATCTAATAATGAGAGGAATTCTAGTAAGACCTGAACCCTCATGTACATGTGATCATAGAACCACAGGGTTAAAAGGAACCAAAGGGTCATCTAATCTAACCCCCTGCCAAGATGTAGGATTTGTTGTATCTAAACCATCCAAGACAGATGGCTATCCAGCCTTTTGAAAACCAGCCTTTTGAAAGCAGCTTCCACAACCTCCCAACGCAGTCTGTTCCTACCTGTAAGAACAGTAGGACAATGGAAGTTTTTCCTGAGGTTGAATCCAAATCTGCTATGGTGTAGTTTGAACCCATTGCATCTTGTCCTGCTGTCTGTGGCAAGAGAACTTTTCTCCATCTTTTTTATGGCAGCCTTTCAAATATTTGAAGATCACTACCATGTCCCCCCTTAATCTTCTCTTTTCCCAAACTAAGCATACCCAATTCCTTCAGCCTTTGCTCACATGGCTTGCATTCCATCCCTTTGATCGTCTTTGTCACTTACCTCTGGATCCTTTCCAGTTTCTCTACATCCTTTCTACACATTGCTGACCAAAACTGGACACAGTAATCTAGCTGAAGCCTAACCAGTGCTCAGTAGAGTTGTACTATCACCTTCCCTGATTTGCATGCTATGCCTCTATTAATGCAACCTAAAATTACATTTGCTTTTTTTGCAATGGTATAGCATTGTTGACTCAAGTAGAGGTTGTGATTGATCACAACACCCAGAACCTTGTCAGCAGTGCTGGTGCCAAGCTAGTTAGCCCCCATTCTGTATTTGTGCATTTGGTTTTTCTTCCTTAAGTGTAGCACCTCACATTTGTATTTGTTAAATTACATTTTGCTGATGTCTGCTGCATAGATACAAAGATTTGCATGGCACAAAGGTGAAGTCTGGCATATTGTGCGCATGTTTAGTCTTGAGGGAAAAAAGGCGAGAGGAAGACCTGATAACAGTCTTCAAATATGGTAAGGGCTGTTAAAAAGAGGACAGTGATCAATTGTTCCACTAAAAGGTAGGACAAGAAGTAATCAATTTAAACTGCAGGAAGGGAGATTTAGGTTAGATATTAGGAAAAACTTTCTAACTATAAGGATATGGAATATGTTACCAAGGGAGGTTGTGCAATCCTCTTATTAGAGGTTTTTAAGAACAAGTTAGACAAACATTCCAGGGATGATCTAGATATACTTGATCCTGCCTCAACACAGGGGGATGGACTACTATTGAGGTCCCTTCCAGCCCTACACTTTTATGATTCTATAAGTGCACGAAGTCATATGACGCAGGAGTGAGATGCATACTCTTACAGACATTTGTAGTTGAGCCTGCAGCTGGGTTGATATGGTCTGCCATGGTCTCAAATCTCCCCTGTGCTAAGCAAGCTCTTGCTAATGAAGAAACTTACACAGCTCTTATACGTCCTATTTTTTTGGGTTGGCCATCTATTCTGATAGTTTTCAGAGTAGCAGCCATGTTAGTCTGTATTCGCAAAAAGAAAAGGAGTACTTGTGGCACCTTAGAGACTAACAAATTTGAGCATAAGCTTTCGTGAGCTACAGCTCACTTCATCGGATGAGCTGTAGCTCACGAAAGCTTATGCTCAAATAAATTTGTTAGTCTCTAAGGGGCCACAAGTACTCCTTTTCTTATTCTGATAGTAGTACTCATCCCCTGTATCCTCCAACGATGTTAGCCTTGATACTCCATTCATCCACTTCTTCGACAACAGTCAATTACTTTTCCTACACTGCCTCCTACGCATGGAATATCCTCTTAATTAGGATTCACCAATTCTGTTAATTCACTTCTGTTCATCAAATCTCTCCTTCAGACTCTTCCTGCATTGTCAACAAGAAATGAGTTTGTCGTCAACGAACAAACGACCGTCCAAAATTAAAGCAGCCATGTGATCTTATTGTAACAACTTTGGTCCTTCCTCTACCCGAAATTTGTTACCCAATCTCAACCTCATTCCTTGAATGGTCACAATATTTCAGTGCTCCAAGATTTCATTATGAGCTTTTCCTTCATGGCCTGAAACACATACTGATGAAGCAAGGAGCAGAACTCCAGAGAAATGGTGCAGGGCTTGGGTGGACCATTGCTGGAAGAGGCTTAGAATTTGCCAGTAGGGAAAACCTCCTCCAGCCTCAATTGAGCAATCAAGAGGAATTTGATAATAAAACCTAGATCTTTCCATCTCTAATTAATCCTTCAAATCCATCCCAGTCTGGAAGTTACAAATATTTCACCACAGTTTTCAACCCTCCATTTACAGAATGGTGGATTAAAAGACCAAATTAGATTCCTGTCTGTCTCTAAAATTATATGACTATATGGATGTGAATGTTATTTGATGTGATTATTCTGAAATGTGTTTATGGTCTTGATTTAGTTCCCAGTAAGTATCCACGTCTCAGGTACCACCAATAACTAGCACTGATTTTGTAAATATCATGAAGCCAGCAACCAAAGGAGCACACTGACTGAACTATCATCACTCCAGAGGTGGTGTTTCAAGATTACGAATAAGGCTTCTTGGTCAGACAACATGAAGAAGCTTGGCATTGGTGCTGCCCTGTAGTATCTGTACTGTGGATAAACCAAGGAGCTCAGTTTACCCAGGGAATTCACCAGCACTAAATACATTAATTAAAATTTTAAACAGCCAAAGTCAGCTTCTGCCCTTGCCATTTTTCCAGTCTCTTCTCTCCCCGCATTCTCTCATCTCCCACATTTTATATTGAATCAGGTGCAGTTCCTGCTTACAATACCATGCTAGGGCTTTGCTGGACCTCCAACTCCTCCATTTCATGGTGTACCTGAGTTAAGTGAGAGGAGGCTATTTATATCTGCACGGTAAAAGTACACTTTTGGGGCATCTGGGTTAACGAATGCCAAACCTCCTGAGTAGCCTAATCAAAGAAACAGATTCTCTGATTTATTTATCAAATTCAAAACTTAATGTCTTGCAACTTAAGAAGAAAAGAAATTACACAATTGCTATGTCAAAAGGGAAACTTAACTCTGGACACTGGACTTGGCAGGCAAATGAAGGAAGAACAGCTTTTCAATTATTTCAAGTATTTAAGTATTTGTGATTTTAAAGTCTCCACAGAGATTTTTCTTACTGATTCAAAATCTTATTTTTTTAAGCAAAACTTCTAATATTTCAGAAATTAGATTCAAAACCAGATTCAATGTACCAAGTTAGTATTGTTTAAAAATACAAAAAATAATCTGTTCAGTTAAATGATGCAAGTGGTCAGGATATTCCATGAGTCAAGTAATCAGAAAATTTAACATGTTAATTCACTTTTTTTGCAGTTTTTAAGAATCTAAAACAGTGTTTGATAAAAGGCAAATGTCTGCAAGAGAGCACAGCAAGCTTCGCTCTCTGTCCCAAACAAATACTAAAGAATGATGGAGTTAATGAGACCAGCAGCAGACAATATGAAAGTGGCTGTTTTTTCTATAACCTATAAATGAAATTTTTTTGTATAATTCTATAGAAACAGAGAAGCACAAACCTGGCTGTATTAGAAGCTCCAGGAGGTAACTAGAATGGTACAAACATGCACCACCTTCCACTACAAGGAGGAGTATTCCTTCAGCCAAACAAAAGGAATAGTACACAATCAGCATCTGTTTCACATAACTGCTTGGCTGCTGAAAGAAGAAATCTAAAAAAAGTATGAGTTTTAACAGTCAGTCCTTAAAGTATTTGAAATAAAACTTCATTGTGCTCAAGCAACTAGACAAGGCTTACAATTTTCCAAAGGCTAAGTTTGCAAGGCAATTTTTAAATTAATTGAGTACATCACAAATTAAAATCTAAACGGAACTTTTCCCTTTTGACTGACATGCAGCAATGAATAGTGAACCTTTGAAGACCGATTCCTTTCAGCCTCTCCAAATTCTCAACATCAACTGCCCAGACAAGACTGCTATAGTACAGAAAACAAAACTCAGCCACAACATATTAGTGTTTGGGATGGGGGGTGGGGGGGGAAGAGAATCTTACAAAACTAACCTAATACAGGCCCCTCTCCCTCAACATCAACAGCAGAAATTCCAGAACAAAGTTTAGCAGAGAAAGAGAAAAGTTACAAAAACTAAACTGGTAAGACCTATTTCTGTACACTGTTTATACCAGTACAGAAATGATGTGGTCTATTATATTCAGCAATTCTCCTCCACAAACAGAGAAAGGGGGGAAATATCAGGGGCCAACACTGCCTGACAGGATCAACATGCTGATGTGTTGCAATCAAGTCAAAGGTGTTGCAGTCTTCACAGTGCTTCTACACAAAATATAAACATATGTAACAGCTGCCCTGCATCTCTTTCCAAGTGAGGTCTTCACTTTTCAGCCCTCCAAAAAGCCCTACCACCTCTTAAAAGAAACTTCACCCTAATCCAACAGAAAACATCCCTCACACTTGGAAAAATATTAAAAATACCCAACCATCAGACTGGGCACTGGAGGCCTTGAGTCTAAATCAGTATCTAGCTACCTGCCATCTAGCTTTAACTGACTGCATTTAGACTCCAAAATTTGGCCCCAAGTGACTTTACTTTGTGACATTGGGAAAGAATTGCACAGCTGAATAGCACTCAGATGTCACTCAGGCACCATGGTGACAAGTACAATATAAATTCATAGACAAATGTGTCATAATTAAGCCTACAATTCTGTCATAGAGGTCATTGATTCCATGACTTTCTGGGACCTCTGACTTCTTCTGGGCCAGCCCGGGGCCATCAGAACAGTGGTCTCCAGCCCGCCAGAGCAGCGGCTGGAGTTGGGTCAGCTGCAAGCCCTGGCAGCACTCTGTTTGTCCCTTCTCTGACCCCCCCGCACCCCCCAGGTATTTTTAGTAAAAATCAGGGACAGGTCGCAGGCTTCCGTGAATTTTTCTTTATTGCCACGACCTGTCCGTGACTTCTACTAAATATAACCGTGACCAAATCTTAGTCATAATCCTTATGCTATGCTCCAAATGCTAAAGGAGGTTGCAGCCTCCCTTTTGGAATGGATGACCAAGGCAAGACCATCAGCGTCTACAACAGGCGTGGACAAACTTTTTGGCCCAAGGGCCATATCTAGAAATAGACATGGTATGGCAGGTCACGAATGCTCACAAAATTGGGGTTGGAGTGCGGGAGGGGGTGAGGGCTCTGGCTGGGGGTGAGGGCTCTGGGGTGGAGCCAGAAATGAGGAGTTCAGGGTGCAGGAGGGAGCCCCAGGCTGGGACAGAGGATGGGAATGGGGGTATGGGGAATGGGGTGGGGCTGAAGATGAGGGGCTTGGGGGTGCAGAAGGGTTGGGCTGGGACAGGGATCAGAGCTGGGGCAAGGGGTCGGGGCATGGGGGAGGAGGGGGAGGGGGAGGGCTCCAGCTGGGGCTGTGAGCTCTGTGGTGGGGCTGAGGATGGGAGGGGTCTGGGGTGCAGAAGGGTGCTCCAGGATGGGACCGAGGAGTTCGGAGGGCGGGGGGGGGGGAACAGGGCTGGAGCAAGGGGTTGGGGTGCAGGCGAGGTGGCTCAGGGTGCAGGGTCCAGGCAGCACTTACCTCAAGCAAAACCCAGAAGCAGCAGCATGTCCCCCCCATTCCAGCTCCTACATGGAGGCACGGCCAGGCGGCTCTCCTGTTCACTGCCCCGTCCACAGACACTGCCCCTGCAGCTCCCACTGGTCACAGTTCCTGGTCAATGGGACCTGCGGGGGCAGCGCTTGGGGTGGGGGCAGCATGCAGAGCCCCCGGCTGCTCCTATGCGTAGGAACCGAAGCAGGGACATGCCGCTGCTTACGGGAGCCACGCGGAGTGGCCCCCAACCCTGCTCCCCGTCTGGAGCGGAGCAAGCCCCAAACCCCACTTCCCAGCGGGGGCTCGAGTGCTGGATTAAAACAGCTGGTGGGCCAGAAGCGGTCCGTACTTTTCCCTCCCCTGGTCTACAACATCTGGGCCTACAGTAACAAAGAGGGGCTACTTTAAGTTTAATAAGTGTTTATCTCAGAGCTTCCTCAACAATAAGTTAAACTAGGAAGGAACCATGGATCTGATTTTGTACAATGAAAGACTTCCCTCTAGAAGTCATCTAATTTTTCCATGACAGTCTTTAAGACAAGTAAGTTTAAGCCTTGTTGAAAGATTAATCCCTAAAAGTCAATTTGCTACTGTATTTATGTACCAATGGGAGTGAAGGGGGAAAAAAAAGATACAGACTATAAGTAGAAGTTCAGGGGAAAGACGAGAATTCTTTCCCCCCAACAGAAAAATCTTCTCATTTTATTTTATTAATACAGCTACCTGTTGGCCAGCCAAGCCATCAACTTAGACGTTTGTTAGTCAAACTGACCCTGTAATAGACAAACTAGGGAGAGAAACTTTTTTAAAAATAGGAAAATGTACAACCAAAGTTGGCAGGGGGATTAGTGGGCAAGTAACTTACCTGATTCAAACTATTTTTTTTTTTTAATTGACTGGATTTCAAGTCATCTGTGTCCCCTTAATCCTTTGGAAATTGGCTACTCCTGAAATGTTTTACACCTCAAGGAGAGGACCATTTCTAGAGTAGAGGCTCAAATGTAAGTGGCTCTGCAACAAATGCTTCCTCTTACACATCATCATCTGTGATGCAGGTAACTAGTAATGGGGATAAGAGAGTACCTTTGATCTGTGTTGTCACTCTAGCAAGGCTACAATTTGGCCCTAAATTTATTATATTTATATCATGTACACTCATCCTTAGGGTTCAAGAGATTAAAAGACATGCCATGCAGTATAATCCAATTTATTTTATGAATTGGTTGCACATTCCTCAAGTTGTGATGCTTTGATATAATCCAATGTATAAATGAATTTCAGTCACAAATTTTTCATTATTCTGACATTTAAAATAATTATGTGACAAAACAAGCAGAAATCTTAAATATTCCAGAGCCCCTATCTTTTACAAACTCCCTATTTAGTGTGCCTATAGTGAAGTAATCAATTAGTGGTGTTCTACTGTGGGGCTTAGATACTGTACCTTTATACAGTGAAATGAAAGTAAAATACCAATCAGATATGCAAGTGATTAAAAGTGTTATACCTCCAAGTTCTTTTACATTCAAGACGGCATTCTGGAATGGCACTGCTTTTATGCTAAAACCTAAAATTAGAAACAAAAAGTGTTAGTAACTTATTTGGTAAGGTATTTTGAAATAGACTGTATCCATTAAAACTATTATATTCACTGTTGTTTTAGATAGGCTACTCAGTCACATTAAATATAGATTGCATAGAAGCAAATCAATGAATACAAGTAGACCTATAAGGAGGGCCCTACCAAATTCAGGATCCATTTTGGTTAATTTCACAGTCACAGGGTTTTAAAAATGGTAAATTTCATGGTTTCAGATATTTAAATCTGAAATTTCACAGTGTTGTAACCATGGGGGTCACAAGCCAAAAGGTGGACCCCGGAGAGAGGGGGGGCACGTCTCAGTATTGCCACCCTTACTTCTGCACTACTACCTTCAGAGGGCAGCTGCCGGCCAGGTGCCCAGCTCTGAAGGCAGCACCACTGCCAGCAGCCGCCCAGAAGTAAAGGTGGCAATACCATACCAAGACACCCTCAATTCTAAACTGCTGCTGGTGGCAGCGATGCTTTCCGAGCTGAGCTCCGACCCAGCAGATGCAAAGCTTCCTGCAGCCGGGAGGTTCCTGGAGGTGGGTCTGATCCAGCCCTGGGAGCAGCCTGTGCAGGGAAAGAGGAAGTCCCATCCCTCCCCAGCCCATCTGGGATTAGCAACTGGAGTCTGGTGCAAAGTAGGAGCCCCTGGCCAGGGGACTCCCAGGCCTGCCTCTCCCCAGCTCCAGGTCCAGCACTTGGGAGTTCAAGAGACCTTGGGTTGGCTGTAGGAAAAGGGTGGGGGGGTTATCACGGTGACCCCTGACCACGGGGCCCTGGGCAGTTGCCCACCTGTAAGGTTGACCCTTCTCCCCCCGCAGAAAATGACGACCTCCCCATACCATGCCACCCTCACTTCTGTACGCTGCTGGTGGCGGCGTTACCTTCAGAGCTGGGCTCCCGGCCAGCAGATGCCGTTCTCCGGGCGCCCAGCTGTGTGAAATCTGGTTTCCCCTACAATAGCCAGATTTCACGGGGGAGATCAAATTTCACAGTCTGTGACACATTTTTCATGGCTGTGAATTTGGTAGGGCCCTACCTATTATCTTGCCAATATAACCTTTCTATAAATAGGGATTTTATTAGCTTAGCCACAGACACTCCATTCTGCTAATAACTCGTGCAACAAAGCATTACCCCCATCTCCCACATTCTTACTTAAAAGTGGTGTGGGAATGTAAGTCCAAAAAATAGAAATTGATAGAATACGCATGTTTTTTGGCAATCCCCATTCAATTTTTTTTTTTTTTTTTTTTAATACTGAAACTGAAGTTTTGCATTATCATTAATAATATGAGGTAACCATTCTAGGATTTTTAACATAGAAAGAGACCGGGAAAATAAATTGAACTGCATACGTTGTTTTACTTAAGTATGCTTTTCTTGGTCACTCTTAATATTAAGGTTGATGAAGGGATATAAATTATGTAGTAGACATTACAACCCTGTTACACACATGAGTAGTATGTACTCTAGATGGTTAAACACTTCAGTAGGTGTTATGTATGTTTATAAGCCATGGATATAACCAACCTGTTGACCGGTTGGACTAAATCTGTAACCATTTATTAACCTTAATATTAAAATATTGATTAATCATTTATTAGCCCTTTATAAACTATAAACACAACAAGATCCCAGATGCATAGGAAGAAGCAACACACCTGAAGCTGCTCCAGGTGTCAATGAGTGGCATTCCAACACAGCACACTGGGTCCCAAGCACCGGTCCGGTTAGGCCCAGCTGCCCCTGGCACCTCGGCACAATCTGCTGCTCTAGGCAGGTGCCTAGTTTGACTAGAGCATCTTCTTGCCCCTAGTTAATAAGGGGGGAAACTTCTGTCTCCCACCAATTACTAAACATCAGCAGCTGCTGCCAGGCAGCAGCAGAGGAGCACTATACACTGTTGGGGGTTTCCAGGAGTCTCACGGTGACCAGTAGGGCCTCAGTGAGGACAGGGCGAAGTCACCCCAGGATCTCAAAAATGCAGAAAGGGTGGCAGCAGAGGTGGGAGGCACCATAGGACCCAAAGAAGGCTTTTCCTTGGCCAGCGCTGGGTGAGTGGACCCTGTAGGAGCCTGGGGTTTGAGGACCAAACTGAACTCCTTCTCTCCCACCTCACTCCCAATTCATATGCAGGATCATGTGCAGTGGGGAAGGGCAGCCAGGGAAACATATGGGGGTTTGGAGGAAGCTTGGAGTAGCAACAGTTTGAGCCAGAGGAGAAAAGCCAGGTGGTGCCTTGCAGAGGAGGCTGGACTAGGCCCCCTTAACACAGAATAATGAATTGGTGTCGTCCACAGCAAGGGGGGGCACAATGAGGAACAGAGAGGCTGCCTGAGCTCTCATCCCACTGCAGAGCAAGTGCACGTAGGATGGGAGGAAGGCTGTCCAGTGTTACAGCTCGTATGGCAGCACCCTCTACTCACCAAAGAGTTGTGTGTTCCCTCTTACAAGGGGGTGGGCAGATGGGTGGACTCTCACCACCACAGAGCTGTGAGGGGCAGGAAGGAGAATAGGGGAGATACAGGGACATTCCCACAGTTTGGAATTTCTTACAGGGATTCCCCAAATCCTAGAGTCCAGACACTGAAGGGTACATAAGCAACAGCATTGGCATTCTATAAGCTTTGCAGAGTTCTGGGACCAGGTCACAGCAGAGCAATGGGTCTCCCCAGCAGGCAGAATGTTACAGACCAAACACCTTTGATCCATCTCGCAGAAGGAACTTAGGGATGGGGCCACAGACCATTGATAGAGTTCCCTTTGTGAGGGGGGCATATGTATAGCGAGCACCTCTGTAGGTAACAGAAATTGGGGAAACTGAGGCACAGCTCAGGGCAGCTGCAGCCAATACTCCAGTCGAAACTGGCAACGAAATTTGGAAAAACTGAGGCACAGTTCAGGGCGTCTGAAGCTAAGATTCCAGCGTAAATTGAGGACCAACACTGGGGGGGAAAAGGTACAGATCAGGGTTGTTATGGCCAAGGTCCCAGCAGATACTGAGAATCAAATGTGGGGAAACTGAGGCACGGCCCAGGATGGCTGTGGCCAAGATTCCCATGGAAACTGGATCACAGCCCAATGTTGCTGCAGCTAAACCGCAACCAAAACTGGCGAAACAGGCACAGTATTCAAGCTATAGGTGCAGCAATTGGAAGGCTGCGATCTAAGACAAAGGACTTTTACAGAGAGTGGCCCTGGATATTGAGGGACACCTCAGTCATGGACCCTGACATGCAACACACTGAGGCAGGACAAACACTCACCCTCCCATTTCATATTCTCTGTGTATATATAAAGTCTGCTGCAGTTTCCACGGTATGCATCTGATGAAGTGAGCTGTAGCTCACGAAAGCTTATGCTCAAATAAATTGGTTAGTCTCTAAGGTGCCACAAGTACTCCTTTTCTTTTTGCGAATACAGACTAACACGGCTGTTACTCTGAAACCTCCCATTTATGGAATCAGAGTAGAATTGAGTTTCTTTAAGATCTAATGTGGGCATTATGCTAGTCGCCCTTTTTTCTTGGGGGCTGGGAAGGAATTTTTCCCTCATCACCAAATAGGCCTAGGTGGAGAGGGTTTCTTCACCTCCCCCACAGCAGGTCAGGGAGGTTAGGTTAATATAGCAGATATCCAGTGCAGGTACTTGTTATGGAAGGGACACTGATTGGATAAAATTGATTGGAAGGGGATTTAAAGGAAAGCACCCCCACCCCTTCAGGAAGCTGGGGAAGGGGAGTTTGGGGCTCCTAACTTTAGTATAGCACACACAGTATCAACATGTTTACACATGCAATATCTTTGAAGGGGTTTGGTCAGGTACAATTCTGAGGGTTGCCCAGGTTTGCCAATCCAGCACTATATTTCTTGCTGAACAGAACAGAAGAACTGACATACCAGGACAGTCCGGTCACTTCCGGTACTCTGGTTCAGACACTGGCCAATAACAGATGCTTCAGAGAAAGATGCAAGAAACCCTGCAGAGATCACTTATGGAATAATCTTCCCACACAGCAAGTTTCTTCCTAACTGAGGAGCTGGATGTTGGTTTATGCCCTGAATCAGGAGGGTTTTATCCCTTTAAAGTCTATACTCTGAAACCTATGATATAACTGTAATGGCAATGAATTCCACAGGTTAAGTACACAGTGTGTAAGAAACAGTATTACCTTGAATCAGTTTTAAATTTCTTACCATTCTATTTTATTTAAATTATTAAAATATGAGGATATTGAGCACACCATGAAAACCAGTTAAGGCTGCTCATGGACAAGAATGCAAAACTCAAAACCACATATATGAAACACAGTGTAAACTTACATACCTACATACACCAACTTCTCACACAAACACTGCCACACACACCCTCCCTATTACACTAACAAATGAACTGTACTCAATCACTTGGGTCACATATCTAGAAAAACATCACATCACAAGATTGCTCTTCCTCCTCTATGACCTAATCTCTCCTTCTTATTAATTTTATACCCAGGTATTTGTTTTAGTCATTTCACCATTTTTCATTAATGCATAGTGTGTCACAATCATCTCTTATTGACAGGCATCCTGGTTCTCCTATGTTTGTTTTTAAGCTTCTTGCATTGGCATAGATACATTTATAAGTTTTAGTTATGTCTGTTTATATTTAACTCTTTTCTTTCACCCTGTTTTTTGTAGAATTTATCTCTGACCTAAACCTGCCTCAGCTCAATTCCTCTCCTCCACTGACCAAAGAGAAAGGATTATGACCAAAAACAAACACTGACCATTGATGAAGTTTCCTTTTGGTTACTTACACATTCCACAGTGCTGCACTGACTGATTTTGGAAGGACCTAAATCCTAATGTGTATCCTCTAGTTTCCTCATCTCACCCCATTTACTATCACCTTTTCCCCCCACTTTGTGCCTATGTAGCAAAGCCCCTTAAGGAATAAGACTTCAAAGGTTTCTTTCTTCCCTTTTTGGTGTCTATGGAAAAATCCACAGGGGGTAGGACTTTTAGAAATTAACAATTTAGATACACCACCCATGTTACCGGAGAGCTCTCTCTCTTTTAAAATGCACAAGATTGTACGTGTTTTTGTGAAAATTCCCCAGGAAAGAATATCACTAAATTTTGCGAGAATAAGCTGCCTTTGCACCTTCGTTAATGACGTGGTTCAAAACACTGTTAAAAAGATTATTTTAAAAATGAATTACTATGCTGAAGATCTACACAGCCTTCAGCACATACTTTAAACCTAACCCAGTTAGTGTAGCCATTCATCTTTAAACAAAATATAACACACACACACACACACTCACTTTTCAAACTATACACACACCCCACACAGTAGTACAATGAACATGGAACTAACTAAGGGAATAAATATGTTCTATTTGGATAACTGATATAAATATATTAGGAATCAAACTTTAAAAAATTGTTACTGTAAATTCAAAATTTCTGGGCTACAAAAGTATCAAGGATTAGCTTTATTTTACATATTAGTTATTTAGTTCCCATATTCCTTTTCCATCATGTGCATTTGAATTATTAATAGAGAAACAAATATATGAGATGAATTGGAGGGCGGGTATTTTATTAGTTATTATTATTATTATAAGGAATAAACCTAATGTGTAATTTAACTGACAATCATCTAAAGTATTAGAAACATTACTTTTGGTTGAAAAAAATATTCCTGACAGCAGCATCATACCTGTTGTAGACACTATATTCTCTGGGCTTTCACTGCAAAGCTGTGACAGTAGACTTGTCTTGCCAGAACCAGTGAGACCTATACAAACCAAGTCATATTCAGGTCGTGGAGGTGGTGGTCCCTTGCAGCAAAGCGCTTTAAAACACTGCCAGGAAAAACAAAAAAAGACTTCTCATATTCTATAACAAAATTTAAAAATTCCAGTTCACAAAATTAAAGGCAACAAAGACAAGCAAAATAGTCTTTTTTCTAAATGTCCTGGTACAATCAGCATTTACTACACTATGATTAGCTCAACCGGAGTCTAAAAAAACAGATTTTTAAGAAAGCATTAGTGTATTAATTTTTCACCTAGATCTGATATGCATGGGATGGGCAATCTGATTTAATTTCCTGAATATCATTAAAAAATGCACATTTAATGAGATAAGTGTGGATGCTATTCAAATATTTGCCCAACCATGTTTGCTGCCATCATTAGAGTCAGCAGGAGATGCAAGTGGTAGCCACATTTGTACCTAATGCCATACCTGGCCCAACTAGCAAGCAGTTTTAGAGCTGCTGCTTGCCAAACTGTCGCAGCTTCGGGAAATCTTTTGGCGCCATTGTCTTCATCCCCTCTCCAATATTCCCCTACTTGTACTTTCAAGGGGATGCCATCCAGTTTACAGTCAGCTTGAACTGGCTTTCAGGATATCTTTTATAACAGTTAAAACATAAACACACTATGTAGGTTTACTAATGTACACATTTTAGGAGCAAATTACACCTTGTTCACCGCACTATACAATAGAGAGGTGTAAATTAATCATTGTGTCACTGCATGAAGAACTAAACTGCCTAAACTAGGTCTTCCTGCTAGCAACATACATGCCTCTTAAGAGCCAGTGCAGCAATTTAATTAGTACTTTAGACCTTTATATATGCATTACAGGTAAAATCTTTACAAACCATTCAAAAGATCGCCATTCTGACAAAACCAGTGCTAAAGGCTTCTGCATAATATTTATATTCAAGTATGAACAATCACCACGTTTTAGTTAAGTCTATAAAATGCATTGCCCAAAACAAAGCATTCTCTCAGCAAGCACTCATCAGTATCAACTACCCCCCAAAAGTAGGGCACAAAGTAGCTGTAGCAAGTGATAGACAATTCATGACTGGCTACATATTTGAAACACACACACGCACGCACACGATAAAATCCATCACTAGGTATCAAATCCAGCAGCTTCAGCACCAGAAATGTGAGTCTACCACCTAGCTAAAGTAGCAGTACTTGTAAATAGCAAGCGAGGACATTACAGGACACCAACTAGAGGGAGACATGAACACACAGCCAGTTTACTATGATGCTACATTTATAATGGGATTATTTTGGATTAAATGATATATTATTGATAATGAATTTAATCTGGAGGAATGTTAACATTTTAATGGTTCTTTTGAAAACAATATGCGTAACATTCAACCTCTTATTTTAAACACATCAAGGCTTGAATTTTCATATCCATGTGTCCCTATTTGAGTGGTAGATAATAGGTCTGTCTGAGGGCAGGATTTGACAGTATCAGTCTTGTTACATATTTTTTCTTGTCTATGCCTGCATAAAGATTAACACACTGTAAATATACACAATTCCAAAGCAAAATGTTTCATTCTGCAGTCTTATTGGTTTGTTCCCTTACACCAGCCAGTCTAAAGAAACAATCTTCATAAACAAAATAACAATGGCACACAAAATAGGAAGAATCCATGCTGACTTTCAGATTCCAGGCAGAGTACGCAATGGTGACAGGAAAACCCCTGACTTATTTGTGAACCAAGCAAGTTTTATATGAAACTTGAGATTCAACATCAAACAAACTCATTTTTTTTCCTCCAAAGCCATTTTCCACACATTAGTCAACATAGCTTCTTTATTCCCTTTATAAAAGCCAAAGTGCAAATATATGATTTGCCCAAAAATATTCACTTACAATTAATGTAGTTAAATAGAGAAAATATCAATTTTTGTATTTAGAAAGAATATAGGCTTTACTGCAATATGTTTGTTATTTTCTTATCTTATAAATAGTGAATTTTCTTGCATATTGAACGTAATATTTTATTTTGTTGACATAAAAGGAATAAGTTCTTAAACCATTTAATGTGCTGGCCTGAAAATATTTCCACAATTTAAAAGGCTACACATACTTTTTATCATTGGCCAAGTTTAAAAACAAATCAGCTTCTTCCCACAACTCTGTACTACAGGCAAAACGTTTCCGGTGCTACCATCAGTAACACGTTTAAAGATTATATAAAACAGTTTTTAAGACTTCCATTGCCTAGTAATCTATATTTACCCATCTCACTAGCCAATAGTTTTATAAGCAAGACACATTTTAAACCCAACTATAGCCATTCACACTAAGAAAGTTATCCTTTAACAATGCTGGGCAACCACCATTGTCTTCCCACTCTGCAGGGGTAGAAAATTGTTTGGCTATTAATGCAAATGGGCCACGCCATTTGAATATTCATTACAGAGATCAGATCTCACAGCTCTGGAAGCCATATTTATTATTATTTGTATTATCATAACACCTATGAGTCCCAGTCATGGACCAGAACCCCATTGTGCTAGGCACAGAACAGAAAGACAGTCTCCTGCTCCAAAGCGCTCACAGCCCAAATAGACAAGACAGGCATAGGGTGAAGGAAGGAATAGAACACACAAGCAGAGTAAACAATGTGAGGGCATGTTTGTTCCATGATTTCTTCCCCGCCTTTAGGAAAACAGAATCTCTCTCCCATCTCTTTTCTTTCTGTAAGGTAAACAGAAAGAAAAGAGATGGGAAATCAGTCATTGAAGGAAAAGAGTGAAGGGAACAAGGCAGGGGGAAAAAATAAAAAGGGCAGACATGGAGTGATGCTGAGAAGAGACCATGAGGGAGGATTGGAGTAATCAGCACAGGTCAGAGAAAGTCCAGTCAAAATTAGCCATTTCATTTTCAACCCTGTTTTGGTGGACTGAGTGGGGGATTGAAGAAAAAAAGCAAATGGTTAATATCTCACTGTCAATCACAGGACATTTTCTTAGTGCAGACAGGGTCTTTAACTTGAGTCATCCCTAAATATCTCATTTCTGTTACCTCCCACCTAGTTGTCATAAGGCTTTTAAGTTTAAAAAAAATATATTTTTTTTTCTTTTTCACAGGTGTGGGCCCAAAAGATGTCACGTTAATAAAAAAATAACACTTAAGTCACATCCATGTGTAAAGGAAAGAGGAAAATTTGCCCAATTTTTTGTTAAAAAACTCTTGATAAGAAACATTTGTGTGCTTGTTAGAAAGATGATATCAAGTATACAGTAAAATTTCAGGGGTGTGTGTATGTACGTGTACGTGAAGTAGCTCGTTAATAATTTAGCCAATTGAACTTTAAGACTGTTGTGAGTGCAGAACTTTTACAACAGCATTTAATTTTATCTTTTGTTACTCTTACAGGCCCATCAGCTCACATAGCTTCTTGTTGCCCCAAGAAAAATCTACAATCAGAACTGTAGCTGAATGATGTTTTTAATGCACTCAATGAGGTTGTTATTCCTATGTCAATAAAATGCATTCTAATATTTAAAGGTGTGTATGTGGTGTTGTGAAATGCAATAATAGTTTATCTTATCTATATACATATCCCTTGCAATCCTGGGTCTGATTTATTACATTGTAAAGCATTTTAAGATCATGTTAACAACAATTACTGTAGATATTACAAGTGTACACTGCGCTCTACAAAACATCTTTGGACACATTTACTGCCCCAAACGAAAAGCAATATTTAAAACCATACTATATATTCAGAGATCTCATGGAGTGTATTAAAAACATGACTAACAGGGCACACTAACAGAGCAGCAATCCCTGTCCTAATAGTGAGTTGCACTGTCAGTCCCACTCTTGGAACCTCCCCCTCTTATGGTCCTCATATTCAACCTTCTGGGCGAGTGTGCCCACATTCACAAGGACATTGCATAAGCCTTACTTTGTAGGACCAGTTTTAGACTCCAGAATATTAACTGTCAAAAATCAACAATTAAACAAAGTGACAAATGGACACTGATAAGATCAACAGTCCAGAATTTAACTATTATTAACGAGCTACTGCAAAAACAAAACAAAAAACAAAAAAAAGCACCACAACTGAAATTTTACTATATATTTGATATTGTTCTTCCCAGGACACTGACAGTCTCCTACTCTTTTCAGAAACTGCTATGAGATGTTTAACATCCTCTAAGAACGGCCATACTGGGTCAGACCAAAGATCCATCTAGCCAAGGATCCAGTCTTCCGACAGTGGCCAATGCCAGGTGCCCCAGAGGGACTGAGCAGAACAGGTAATCATCAAGTGATCCATGCCCTGTCACCCATTCCCAGCTTCTGGCAAACAGAGGCTAGGGACACCATCCCTGCCCATTCTGGCTAATAGCCATTGATGGACCCATCCTCCATGAATTTATCTAGTTCTTTTTTGAACCCTGTTATAGTCTTGGCCTTCACAACATTCTCTGGCAGAGAGTTCTGCAGGTTGACTGTGCGTTGTGTGAAAAAATACTTCCATTTGTTTTAAATCCGCTGCCTATTAATTTCATTTGGTGACCCTTAGTTCTTGTGTTATGAGAAGGGGTAAAAAAAAAAACACTTATTTACTTTCTCCACACCCAGTCATGATTTTATAGACCTCTATCATATCACCCCTTTAGTCGTCTCTTTTCCAAACTGAGAATTCCCAGTCTTATTAATCGCTGCTCATACAGAAGCTGTACCAGACTTCTAATCATTTTTGTTGCCCTTTTCTGAACCTTTTCCAGAGAATAGCAGAGGGCAGGGAACACTAACAAAGCAGCAATCCCTGTCCTAATAGTGAGTTGCACTGTCAGCCCCACTCTTGGAACTCCCCCTCTTATGGTCCTCAAACTCAACCTTCTGGGCAAGTATGCCAACATTCACAAGGACATTGCATAAGCCTTACTTTGTGGGACCAGTTTTAGACTCTAGAATATTATTAACCGTCAAAAATCAACAATTAAACGAAGTGACAAATGGACACTGATAAGATCAACAGTCCTGAATTTAACTAGCATGAGAAGTACACACACTT